TCAACTTGGACAGACTCCGCAGTTCAGTGACTCAGGATTTCACTGGTGAAATGCAGCTACCTTCACTGATAGTCCGGTAGTGATTTTGGTGATGTTTGGAGGCAAAGTTAATGGACCTACTTTAGGGGCTTTACCCATAGTCCAATTATAGATCACCCTCTAGTTCCTATGACTCCCACTGCACAGGGGCCTGGAGGTGTACAAGCCTCCTTGGGTGAGGTCACCCCTTTCATTGCCCGTGGGCATCATTAGGCTCCACCTCACTCAGAGATGTGTCCCCTCTACCCAGGGACAAACTGTATGAATACAAGCTTTTCTTAGTTTGGTAAAATACTAATAATAACAAGTAAAAGGTACAAGCACATGAAAAATGAAGAAGAGGTTACGGATGGTGGACAGATGGATGGCAAAAGAATCATGGAAATCTGTTCTACCTGGTCCTGGGATGGTTGTTTGGGGGCCTTTTCGCTAAAGATAATAAATAATGCATGCTTTGACTTATCTGTAGCGGAAAGGAAGCACTAGAACATGAAAGAAAAGTTGACCACGGTATAGTCTCTAAAATAGCAGTTTCACAAAATAAGATCCACGGACCATCCCATCCGAATCATTATGAATACTAGCCCCAAAGGCAGATTCCTTGGCCCCACCTGAAGTTCCTAAAGCAGACCCTCTGGGGCCAGGGTGAAGGAATCCACACTTTAACGCATGTCACACATGACTTTTGTGTACGCTGAGTACTGAAACACACTGCTAAAAAGTTGGCAATGGAGGTCACTGACAAAAGCATCTCCATTCCAATGTAGAGAACATGATGAGCAAAGATGTTTAAAACAAATAAGCTCTGTGGTCGCCTCACAAGGCTGTGATTATTAAAGTTTAAGACTCTTTTCTCTCAGCAGGGCGGGTAGAGCAATAACCATCTCGTGGAAGTCCAGAATGATGAAAGCAACATAAATCAAACTCATTCCAGCAGGTTTCATTCGGTCTAATTTCTCTGCAGATATTAATCATTGTACAGTCCTGTCCAAATGACATCTAACTCCATTGTAACTCAGAACACAGCGCACTCACTCTGATTCTTTCTCTAGTGTGTTATTTTGACAGTATAAAAGAAAATAAATAAATTGGAACAGTGGGCCATCGAGATTGCAAGATACCAACAATATCAAGACATTAAAGAGAGAAATGGTCCATGCTAAACCTATAACCCAGCATGCAAATTGGAAACCAAAACACAAAAAACACATTTATCTGCCACAGTCACCAGGTGGGGTGCAGGGAGTAACTGCCTTCATTTTTCCTTTGAAAATTGCTGTCCAGTGGAGGTAACTAAGAATTCCACCTAAACGATCACAGAAAGTCTTATTAATTCTGGTGTCACCTAGAAGAGCAAGGTTAGTCAGATTCCACGGCATGATACCTTCCAGGGCACGGCAGAAATGCTTGCACTAAAGTGGTAACTGCAGAGTTGGAAGGATGAAATCATAGCAAAGAGAAATTTTTGAGGATCGAAGTCTGGCCCCCATTATGGGAAGCTGGCACCATGCAATTTTGCAAAACACCATGTACGCCTTTGGCTTTCTCACTGCAGCATATTCTGCTTGGTACAGACAAAGGATAATCAGAGAGGAATTTAAAACCCAGAAAAGCAAAAGTAATCCAGAAGCTCTATCAGTGGCAAGCAACTGCGGACCCAGAACGAACAACACACATCTGTGCCAACAGATAAAGATGCCTGGGAATCACACCGGGCCAGCTGAAAAGTGAAAGACTCCATGGTGACTCCCCTTTAATAACTAATGAATTAGTTGGGGGTAAACATAGCTATGGAGGAATAAAGACCAAAGAGAAGACTTCGGATCTGTGCATTGTTCCCCTTTTACTTTAATGCACTATGCATGCATTTCCAGTTAGGTAGCTGTGCCCGTCATTACGAAGGATACCATCACTGCACATTCTGGAAGCCACATCACTTGGCTGTTTCATGGCCAATCTCTGTGCAATGACTTCCTGGCAGAGGGAGAGCACACTACCACCACCATCTAACAGTTTCATGTCCCTGTCCCTCCCCCCCCCCTTTTTTTTTTGGTAAATGCAGATCACTCTCTTTTTGATGGTGAGTAGAAAGGCTTTATAAATATGTGTCTGTCTTCAGGAGAGCCCCATACCTGTAGGGAATGCCCTCCTCGAGTTCACTAGATTTTAGGACTGCAGGATTCCCCAGGAGGCTCTCCAAGTTGGGGTTCTACACATGTCTCCTCATTCAGTCGACCCATTGGATGGTATTCATTTCCTCATATCAGCAACATATGGCCCTTGTCATAACCAATAGTCAAGAAGGCAGCCACATTTATTGTTCTGTCCAGGACTGAACTAAAAGTGCTTAAAACTATTTTAAATCCAGGAAACAGGCCTGAATCACAGTGATTCCCAGGGCCACAAGAGAATGTAATCTCATAACTCAGCCACCCAGAACTCATTTCCAGGCTGCACAGACATCACTTGATAACTCCACTCAAACAGGGACTGGAGATGTCCATCTACTTGGTGCCTCCTCAGAGCTGTTTCCTGACCGGGTCTATATCCATCTCTATGCCAAAATCCAAGCAAATGAGCACACTGCTGTCTTAGTTACTTGGACTCTATGGGGTGGGGGTCCATCTAGAGCTGACCCAGATGAAAATGTTGTTGTTTTAAACAGATTTCCTACCACTAGTTTTGTTCCCTGGGGATGGAAAGAGTACCTAAGCAGGAAAAAAAAAAAAAAAATCCATGGCTTTTCCAAGGACAGAGATAATGCCATTAACATTTTTTTGAAGTGTTTAATGTCCCACTTAAAGTAGTTGGAGAAGCGGGTTGACAGCCATCATTAGTTCTCCCACCCTTACTAGTATCTCTCCATCCTGATGCCATTCAAGTCAGCTAGAAATTTAAGGAAGTTGGGACTTTGGCCATGTTATTTAAGCCCCAACTCTTTGATAGCACTTCCAGTAGGGTCACAAGAATCATTTGACCAAAGTAAGTTTGAGGATATCTTCATCAAATTCAACTTTTTCTTGACCTATTAAGTTCTGTGGTTCTTTGCAGAATCTATTAGTAGGATGGTATTTTGACGTAGCGTTCAGAAATATTGAAAAGAATGAAGACATATTGGTAGGCTTTACAAAACTATGTTGCAGTTAAGATAAAAATGTCTGCTAATATATTGATACATTTAAAAAAAAAAACACTTAAATTCATAAATCGTAATTCTCTTGACAATTCAACTCCCCAGGAAACTTTCTTTTTTTCACTTAAATGAAACTTTGGTTCCATCCAAATCATCACAAGAAAACATTCACTGAGTCTGTCACACAGGTGTAGAGGCAAGAATCACAAACATTCAGAACGATATCCGTGTACCAGTGGGCACCAATAACAGGAATCCAGACAGACCCTCTCACATAATAAAGATGCATCTATGAACTGTTTCAAAAAGAAGAGAATGGTCATCATTTTCCCTCCTACAGACATCATCTGTTGCCTTTATTACCTGTGATAATACAAACACATACACACAAACACACAATAATAAAAAAATTAGGAGTACTTGGCACAAAATAAATGAGTGACCAATTATTTTTCAATTCCCACTGAAATGGTTGAGGAATGCCAAAAACAAAACCCGGTCTCTTAATCTTCATTTACCACCAGTCTACGCAAGAGTTATTGGGTACATTAACAGAATACAGAGTCACAGGGCTGGATGGCTATTAACAGTTTCTTTTTGGCTGTGTCTATAAAGGTCAAGGATGTCAGCAAGAAAGATCGTTTAGAAAGCCAAAACCTCAATTTTGGAGTTCCAGTTATCTAGTTGGGTGGTTCAGACACGAGAGAAACGACAATCAATCCCAGTATGGACATAGCCAAGTCCCCAGCTCCCAAAGGCAAACACCGTAAATAGGCTCCAGGGAGGTGGCATGAGGCAGGGGAGGTTGAGAGAGGACCAAACAATCATTAGGAGGCGTGCGGAATACAAGTCCCTCTTAAACAAATGGCTGCCCCCTGACTCCAGCGTGAACAGCAGCAGGGTGCTCTTCCTTCCCCATCTAAGTGGGGATGCGGAGGTCGCGCGTGGACTGTGGAGACAGCCGCACCACTGACGCATGGGCAGTGAGAACTCTGAAGACAGCGAGAGCAGGCACGCTCTGCTCAGGGCAGGGACGGCTGAGTGAGGGGCCCTTTCATAGTGATTTTTGTGGATATGAATGTGTGTTTCCTACAAAAAAAAAAAAAAAATGTTGACCAGCTCTCCTCACCCTCTCTGATTGCAGAGAAAGAGCGAGGCAGTAAAATGGAGCCTGAGGGTGTTGATCTGCAAATAAGGAAGATGATTTCTTGAGGAGGAGGGTTACTTGACTGTTGGAAGTTAGAAAGTGTTGCCGAGTGAGGCTGGGAATCTTCCCAGAAGGGTTGTAAGAAGACAGCAGAGACTCCTCCCTCTCTGTCCTGGAGGTGCTACGGGAGCAGGACGCACCCTGGAGGCTGCCCAGGCCCTGGGCCGTGGGCACTGTGCGTGTGTACACACACTGTACTCTGTCCACCAGTCCTCATGCACTCGGAGTCGATATAAACTGGCACATAATAGATTTGAGTGAAAAGTCATATAAATCTGCCGTGCCCCCGCCCCCCATACACAAAGGGAAAAGGAAAATTGAAAAAAAAAAAAATCAAACATATGCCATTAGGCCAGATCTCTTTCTACCATATTCGTGTTCACAGGAGGGAGGTAGAAGAGGAGAGAAAACCCATTTTGAGATAAATGACTCCCAAGGCCTCTCAGCTCCTCCAATGGAGCTGGCCCTCATTGTACACAGGGGACCAAGTTAACAAACAAACTAACACATAAGAAAGAAAAAAAGAGTTTCTTACACTTCCACTTCTGGAAAGAAATCTACCCTGTGGACTTACGTGTTAAGGTGAATTAGGTACATAGGCAGTAGTATATCAATGGGCATTGTGTTCTAACAAGTGTATATTGTTAGTGGTTGTCTGTCTTTGCAAATAGGAATTTCTCTTAGGAGGTTGGCTGTACACTGCTCCCGTGGTTTGCTTCTTCGCCCCCCAGCCCTGTCCTATAGATGGTACTTCCGTAGCAGTTCCGATTGCCAAGGGTGCTTCCTCTCGGGGAACCGGTCTGGGATTTTGATCTTGAGGAAATCCTGGATGCACTTCTCCAGCTCTTCCTCAATGGAGAGCTTTTCCTTAACAGCTTTTTTTTTGCTGCTCATGTTCGACTCCCTGGAGCCAGAAGTCAGAGTCCGGAGCAGGTCGCTTTTCCGCCGCATCTCCGACTGTTGGATCAGCTGGACAGGGCCCTTCTTGATGGGACGGTCCAGAGTCTGGATGTTGGTCTGGCGTGTCACCGGCCCGCAGATGACCGTCTCCTGGGGAGAGCTGGCCTCAGACTGGCTGTCGCAGCTGGAGGTGGAGAGGTCGTTGCAAGACGTGCCGCTCTCCCCTTCTTTGTCACCTTTGCCATTCTTGCAGCAGCAATCACAATGTGAGGATGACCACCTGGCAGGCTCACCTGCAAGAAAGCACAGGACCCAAGTGATTAATGCCCAGAGCAGCAGCACAGAGCCTGGAAACACACACACACACACACACACACACACACCCACACCCATGTCTTTAGGAGTGGTATGGCCCTCCGGATGAGCTGCAACAGGAAAACCCAAAAGCCAAGTCCATGGGGGGGGGGGGGGTTAATAATGACATGCTGTGTAAGAGGAAATATAGTATAGTTAATGCTTAAGCCATAGCTTTGGTGTCAGATAGCCCTGGGGAAGGATACTCAGCTATACCACTTACTAATCTGGTTACACTGGCAGACCTCTTAGATTCTCAAAACTTCGGTTTCCTCATCTGTGAGATGGGGATAACGATTTTCCTACTATCTGGAGTTGTAGGGAGGATATAGGTAAGTCCAGTGAAGTTCTGAATGAAATGGGTAGTATACAGTAAGCACTCAATACATGCTAGCTGGTTTTACTGTGGCTGATGTCAAACCCTAATTCAAAGTTCCACATAACAGCAGTCGGGTACGGTGGGGGAGTCTACATGGGAAGAATGGCAGCTGTCAATCAGGGAGGATTTCCTTTGTGCCAGCCCCCACGTAAGCTCTGTGCACTCATCAACTCATCAAATCCTCAGGATGATTCTCTGAACTCAGTAGCTCCATACAAGGAAATGAAGACCCTGAGAGTTCAAGCCACTTGCCATAGTTTGCACAATTTGTAAGTGGCAGAGCTAGGATTCAAATACAGATCTCCCAAATACCATATCCAAGAGAACTAACCATTTGTCTTCAATTTGCTGGCCTGAAATTCCTGCTTCTCCTTCCAAACCATGTTCAAGGTTATACTTCACACAGAAACCTGGAGCGTTCCTAAAAGCTCTCGACTGCACACAGAAAGCCCTGTGCTCACGCGGAAATGTGCACGCAGCCCTCCGGTCCGGTCCAAGCCAGGAAGCTGGCACCCAGACACCCACTTCCCCGAACTGCTGAGATGCTCATGGATTTAAATGTCAGCTGGGATCCCCCAGCTTCCAGACAAATGAGAGTATTACTTTCCACTTATTCTAGGCGCAATCACTATTAAAGGGAAATTGAACAACTTAATTCTAGGGAAGCCTGTTATACTACCACATGCTTCAATATTTTATGAGAACATTTGAATGTTTTACTATTTTGGCAAGATAATTCATAAGATGTCTTCTGAAGTCTATATGTTAGGAAATCAAGGAAGAAGATGGGATGAATACAGTCTGGCTGGAGGCGCTGTGTGCCGAGTTATAGTGAAATGTGAAGAAAAAGAAAATCAAGCATGAGAAGATAAGTACCCATTCTTTTCTGGAAGCACTGTCTGCCTGCCTGCCCCCTTACCAAGAACTTCCCCACAGGCAGAGGTTTGTAGGCAGAACGCACAAAGGCCATGCCTGTGGGTACCCGACACTTCGCCCCTGGAGTCCCACTGACATGCGCTCACCAGCCCTGGAAAGTGTAGACATCGCAACATACTTTTGCTCTCAATTTGCTGAGGTTTCAATAATGATTATAATAACTCTCTCCATTTGAAGAGATAATCGGATACAATTGATTGGCCAGATGTGGGGAGAACACCATTTCATTCCAAAAAAAGTCTGGTCTATTGATATCAAAAAAGCAAATAATGTATTGCCATTTGGGGTTTATTAACTAGTTGTTCATCAAAAGGACTAACAGCTCTACCTTATTTTAAAATAAACTATTGCCCTGGCTGGTTTGGCTCAGCGGTTAGGGCGTCGGCCTGCAGTCCAGAGAGACCAGGGTTTGGTTCCTGCTAAGGGCGTGTACCTCGGTTGCAGTTTGTCCCCAGCCCTGGTTGGGTGGTGTGGGTGGCAGCCACTCAATGTGTCCCTTTCATGTCGATGTTTCTCTCTCTCTCTCTCTCTCTCTCTCTCTCTCTCTCTCTCTCCCCTACTCTATCTGAACAAAAAATGGAAAAATGTCCTTGGGTAAGGATAAAAAAATAAACTGAATAAAATACACTATTGCTGAATCTGTTGAACATTATATCACTTTTGGTATCTGGCACATGCTAGAGGTTTGCTAAATTTTTGATGTATGAATGAATGAATGAATGAATGAATGAATGAAAAGCCAAACATATATGTTGAACTGTATCAAGTTGATGACATATCAGGGCAGATTCAGATTCCAGAATTACGATTTACAATTTGTCATCTTGGATAAATTGCATTACTCAGTTTCCTCATCTGAAAAAATAAGATCAATAGAATCTTCCTCAGAGAGGTTTTAGGAAAACTAAATGAGATAGTTAATGCAAACTATCTATTCACACCTATTTGTTCTACCATAAGCCAGGTGCTGATCTGCATAAACGAAACAAATTAAGAGCTTGTTGATATGACTCGTATGTTTCCATGACAATTCTCGGGTCTGGTTGGAGCATCGTCTTAGGAAGCGCACTGGTGGGCATTTCGTGATGTCTGACTCTGGTGTGGGAGTGAGAAGAACCACACGCAGGTAGAGAGTCTGGCACACAGTGTGTGACCAGGGGCCAGTTTTGGAAGGATGGTTTATTTGCAGTACAGTGCTCACAATTTCACAAATGGATGAATCTTCCAGGATAAAATTTACTTGAAGACACACCCACTCAATTTAAACCCAGGGCCTGGAGGACGTTGTAGTTTGGATTAAATAGGCAGGGGCAAGAAACCCAACTGCCCCAAAATTTGAAGCCAAAATCCTCCAACATTTTACAACTTGGAAAAACTGAGGACATATCAAGCAAGCTGGATGACTGGACTTGGTCCCTTTCCATGATCCCCCAACTGTGGACGTCCTTACTAATAAAGAAGAAATAAAGGGGGAAAGGCTACAGAATGTTTCTCCCCTATGAAAAATTCAAACCAAGCTGAACGAACATGACTTAGCAAACTCACAAAGTGCTTTATGCATTTTTAAAAGAGGCCGCTCTGCCATCTCCCCACACCTCAGATTCTCCCTCTGCTAATGGTTGGGAACACAGTGCCCATCATTTACAGCAACAGCTGGAAAAACTGCTCTCCCTGTCTTCTCTGTCAATGATGTAGGAGCCTGTCCGTCTGGGAGCGAGGTGGCCAGATTTAATTTATTGGGGCTGCTAAAAGACTTTCTTAGTATCCCGGTTGAAAAGTCAATAACGGCCAAATTGATGTTTTTATAATTCTGCTAACCTTGGAAAAGCTATTGCAGAGTGCGGATTGAAGCAGACAGCTTCTGAGAAAAATGCATCTTCGAGCTTGACCATCGTCATTTCTTGCTTGTGGGTGACCTTTCTCCCTTCTGGACATTTGGCCTTGGATGGGCCCAACTGGGGCTCCTCATTAAGAGCGGGAAAATTTGGCCCTGGCCAGGTATCTTGCTTGGTTGGAGCATCATCTCATACATCAAAAGTTTGCAGATTCGATTCCCAGTCAGAGCACATAACCCAGGTTGCAGGTTTGATCCCTGGTCAGGGTGCCGAAAGGAGGCAACTGATTGAATTTTCTGTTTCACATTGATGTCTCTCTCTCTCTCTCTCTCCTACTCCCTTCCTCTCTAAAAAAGCAATAAAAACACATTTAAAAAAAAAGAAGGGGCATGTTTGAGACAGTTAAACTAGCCAAGTACCAGTCAGGACCAGTCAGAAAAACAGATACCCTGCCTGTACCTGAACAGAGAGAATTTAATAGAAGGAATTGGATAAATAGCTATTGGGAGAGTGGCACTGCAAGAAGGTGACACTGGAAGAGACACTCCCACCCTTAGGGCTGGGGAGGCAGAAGAAGATGGGTAATTAGAACCCACAAGTGCACAACAGTTGTCCTGAGCAGGTGGGACCCAGGCTTCTGAGGTGAGCACGCTGCCTGCTGGTGTCACTATCTCTGAAGGGGCCTGGCTCTGGGGATTACAGAAGAAAACAAAATTGGACACTGGGACCAACTGCTTCTGGGGTAATTATGAGCCAGGTTGAAGCTGATGAGCCGACAGCAGACAAGGAGTCCCTCCTGGCCTCGTGTCTTCCTCCAGCACCCCCCATGGATAGACACTAGCAGGAAGCCACCTGGACAGATGAAAAGTGTGGTGAGCTGAGCCCCACGCCAGCAGCACAGTACACAGGGGTGGGCTTGGAGCTGAGAGGAGACAGCACACTAGCAGCACACTCACCCTCCCCGCGGTGCAAAAGACAAGAAAGACATAGCTGTTGACCTGCAGGAACAGGGCTCCAGTGGAGGAGTTAGGAAATAGAAATACAAGAAAACCATCACCTCAGTCCTACCCTGCCACCCTGTTCCATGCCCTAGGGTTTTGCATTTGTTCTTTCTTCTGCCAGAAACATTTATCCTTCTGATTTTCACCTGTTTAGCTCTTTTTCTGTCCTCAAGAGCTCGTCTCTAATGGCATTTTCTGAGAGGCCTCCCCTATCCATCTCTAACCCAATTTAGGTCCATCCCAACCCCTAGCCCGTCTTTCTCAACATCAAGTGTAAGCACAGAGGTCTGTGTTCATCCCCTTCTGAGTTCTGATGCACACAGCAGGGCACATACAGGTCAGGGTTACGGGGCATGTAGTAGATGCTCAGAAAATCCCTGCAGATAAATGAACAGGAGAACAAACAAATGATGTGTCTAGAGTCTAAACGGTGATTTTTGGTTTAGTGTGTGTGGGAAAGACAGTGTCCTTCACCCCAGGGGAAAAAAGATTAAAAATCTGACATGCAAAGGTCATGGGAATGGAAAAGGTTTCAGCACATCACTAGACAAGTAAAATACATGTGGCAAAAACATGCTGACTGACAGAGATAATGGCAAAATCCACAGACCAATCCGGAATTGAGAAATTGCATACGTGTGTGTGCGCGTGTGTGTGTGTGTACAGGGTGGGGCAAAAGTAGGTTTACAGTTGTAAATATGCAAAACAGAGTTTGTTCTTGTGTTATTATTGATTAATTATTGCATTATTTTTCATACAAATAACTATAAACTGACTTTTGCCCCACC